CAAGGCAAGCGCTCTACCCCTGAGCCACTTTCCCAGCCCCCATGAAACTCTTATCTCCAACAAACCACCAGAAAACTGGAAGTGGCGCTGTGGCTCAAGTGGTAGAGCACTAGCCTTGAGCTGAAGAGCTGAAGGACAGCGCTCAGGCTCAAAGTTCAAGCCCCACAACCGACAAAACAAAACAAAAATTACTTCATCGGGAAAACTCAGCAAAATAGTTAAGCAGTCAGACTGTTGATGAGTGTAGGCACATTGTGTGAGGGCATGGGCAGGGGAGTCTCGCGGGGCACACTCTGTCTCGTGTTCGCTGCTCTGACACAGTAGTAATTGTATCGCTCCTATATGAGTGCTACATATTTCATCCAGAAAACTGAAAGGACGAAATCTCTTACCGACCCCTGCAAGAAAAAAAGACTTAATTAAAAATAACTATAAAGACATAAAAATATGGATTAAGCCATGGCTAAAGGGAAAGAGCACCTTCCTGGCAGACATGAAGCCCTGAGTTCAAGCCAAGAACATAGGGGCTGGGAAGGTGGCTCAGTGGTAGAGTGCTTGCCTTGCATGCATGAGGCCCTGGGTTTGATTCCTCAGCACCACATAAGAGTGGAGCTGTGGCTCAAGTGGTAAAACGCTACCCTTGAGCTGAAGAGCTGAGGGACAGCGCCCAGGACCAGAGTTCAGGCCCCATGACTGGCAAAAACAAAAAAAAAAGAACATAAAAATATTACTCCTCCCTAACTAATACATAAATTGTTGGGAACTTTTAAGTCTTTAATTTTTTCAGTTAGTCAAAACTGTTTGAAGCTGGGCACTGGTAGCTGACACCTATAATTGTAGTTACTCAGGAGGCTGAGATCTAAGGATCACAGTTTCCTGCCCAGGCAGGAAAGTCTGTCAGATTCTTTATAAGCTATCAAAAAAGCTGGAAGTGGAGCTGCAGCTCAAGTTAGAGTGCTAACCTTGAGCAAAAAAGCTCAGGGATAGAGCATAAGGCCTGAGTTCAAGTCCCAAAGAAAAAATAAATTATTATCTGGCAGAAAGAAAAATAAACTGTTTTGAAGCTTATATAATAGTATCGCTAATGTTAAACCAAGAAAGAACTATTAAGGAAGACTTGTTTTAACAGATAAATTGTGATCAAATTTGCTACTGGCCTAGAAATGGATAAATAGATAAGAAAATATAGTACTGCAATAGAGACAAAAATATATGGTATCTTAATATGTATGAGGAAATAATGGTTTCTTTAATGATTGATGTTAATTCATGTTGGGGAGGGGGCACTAGACCTGCATATCACATATGCAAAATAAATTAGATTAGAGGTCTTAAATTTATGGAAGCAGAGGTTGGGAATATAGTTTAGTGGTAGAGTGCTTGCCTAGTATGCAGGAAGCCCTGGGTTTGATTCCTCAGTACCACGTACACGGAAAAAGCTGGAAGTGCCTCAGTGGCTCAAGTGGTAGAGTGCTAGCCTTGAGCAAAAGAAGCTCAGGGACAGCGCCCAGGCCCGGAGATCAAGCCCTAGAAAAAAGAAAAAGAAAAATGGAAGCAAATCTAGAGAATCATGGAGAGCCTAGGCAAAAAGTTCATGAGACTCTGACCTCGATAGTTAGACGTGGCTGCAGGCACCTGCCATGCCCTCTCCAAGGGAGGGCAGCAGGATGTTGGCCCTGGCCTCAGGCAAAAAGTGTGTGAGACTTCCATCTCACAGAGAAATCTGGACAGGATGGCATGTGCTTGTCATCCCAGCTCTAATGAGAAATACAAGTAAAAGACTCTCAATCCAGGCCAGCCCACGCAAAAATGAGAGCAGAGTGAGCTGGAGGTATGGCTCAAACGGCAGAGTGCCTGGCTAGCCAAGTACAGAGTCTTGAGTTCAAACGTCAGTATCCAAAAACAACAACCAAAAAAACACCTAAAATTTAAGTAATGTAAAATTAATAGGAAAAGCAATTTAAATGTATGTCTCAGCTTGAATGATAAAGATATTCTCGAAAATGTAGGACCAGAAATGGTGAGCACAGACCTGCGTGAATGGCCAAGGTAAAGTCAAAGATGTTTTACTGGTAGAAGCCGGGCGCTGGTGGCTCACGCCTGTAATCCTAGCTACTGAGGAGGCTGAGATCTGAGGATCGCAGTTCAAAGCCAGCCTGGGCAGGAGAGACAGTGAGACTCCTATCTCCAATAAACCACCAGAAAACCGGAAGTGGCACTGTAGCTCAAGTGGTAGAGTACTCACCTTGAGCTGAAGAGCTGAGGGACAGCACCCAGGCCCAGAGTTCAAGCCCCACGGCCGACCAAAAAAAAAAAAAAAAAAAAAGATGTTTTACTGGAAAAAAATGAGTGTACACATCCAGTAACAGAAATTTCCCACAAACTCAATAAAAAGCTAAATTCAGAGAGAAGAAATGGGAAAGAAAAGGAGCTGCTTCACAGAAGCAGGCTGTAAACAAGGAAGTTAAGATCAGATTCCTTCCTTCCCACTTACCAAGTTGGAACAGTGAAGCTGTACAGTTGACTGCCTGTGCAGGTGTGGAGAACAGATGGCGGGCACTAGTCAGTGCCAGAAGGCTGTGAAGTAGTTATTAGGGAAGTAGTTATTAAAGCTGAGCACAAGGGATGGGAAGGTGGCTCAGTGGTAGAGTGCTTGCCTTGCATGCATGAGGCCCTGGGTTTCGATTCCTCAGTACAACATAAGCAGAAAAAGCTAGAAGTGGCACCGTGGTTCAAGTGGTAGAGCGCTAGCCTTGAGCTGGAGAGCTGAAGGACAGTGCCCAGGCCCAGAGTTCAGGCCCCATGACCAACACACACACACACACACACACACACACACACACACACACTAAAAAATAAATAAAATGAAATAAAACAAAAACTGAGCACAAGCCTGGTGCAAGTGGCTCTCACCTGTAACCCTAGCTACTCAGGAGGCTGAGATCTGAGGATCACGGTTCAAAGCCAGCCCAGGCAGGAAAGTCCGTGAGACTCATCTCCAATAAACCACTCACACAAAACCAGAAGTGGTGCTGTGGCTCAGGTGGTAGAGCACTCATTTGAGCTGAAGAGCTCAGGAACAGCGCCCAGGCCAAGAGTTCAAGCCCCAGGACCGACCAAAAAAAAAACACAGCACAAAAAACTGAGCACATCCTCTTCCCTAACAGTCCCGTCCTACAGAAGTAAAAGCACTGGGCAGCCAGGTAGTAAGGACATGGTTTCCAGAGCGAGTTAACAGCTGTGTTTGTGGTGGCAATATAGAAAACTAAAGCCACATGGTTCAGTCCCCCCAATGAGGAAGGTGTAAGTGCACTGTGGGGTGTTCATACTGTGGAGATCAGTAGTTTCCAGTGCATATTCAGTAATACGATAAGCAGACTAAATGCTGAATAAAATGGTATATTTTCTTTGCCTGAAAAGAAGAAACAGCAATGTAAATGAGGAATTAGATACTTCTGTTACATATAAAGATCCAATGTTGTTACTCATAGGCAAATCAACAGTTCAGTGGCAATAGACCTAACAAGTTGTTTCTTTTTTTTGTGGGGGGGGGGGTCCGGTTGTGGGGCCTGAACTCTGGGCCTGGGCGCTGTCCCTCAGCTCTTCAGCTCAAGGCTAGCGCTCTACCACTTGAGCCACAGCACCACTTCCGCCTTTTTTCTTTTTGCTTATGTGTTGCTGAGGAATGGAACCCAGGGCCTCATGCATGCAAGGCAAGCGCTCTACCACTGAGCCACCTTCCCAGCCCAACAAGTTGTTTCTTATTGAAACATTTTTTTCTCTTTAAATAGTTGTAAATAGGAGTTACCATTCAAAAAATCAGTTTATAAGTACAATGCATCTTGATCCATGTCACCTTTTGATGGTTCTCCTTATCCCTCCCATTGTCTTTTTATGTGATTGAATCCAGAACCTACACACACTAGGCAAGTACTCTGCTATTGGAACCATGCCGTCAGCCCTTTTGTTTGTGCTTTGTTTTTGAGATAGAGTCTCCCTTACGTTTCCTGGGCTTTCCTAGAACTCAGATCATCCTGCTTCCACCTTCTAAGTAGCTGTGATTGTAGACATTTGTCACCTTGCCTGGCTTTTAAGTATTTATTTTACTAGGAACAGTGGGTTTCTTTTGAGACTCCTAGACCTGCCCACTTTCCAGCCTTAGTAGGTCCACATGCCTTTACCTAGGGTGGCCAAATCCCCCAGCAAAGCTGCTTTTTAGTAAGAGTACTCGTCTGTTTAACCTGTGCTATGTTTTCTTTCAGACGGGGAACTGGTGCTTTTAAATCCCGAGTAGGACTGCCTGCGCCTGCGCCTGTTATCAATAGCAAATATGGACTCAGAGAGACAGATAAACGCTTAAATAGGCTTAAAAAGTTAGGTGACAGCAGCAAAAACTCAGACAGTCAGTCTGTCAGCTCTAACACTGACGCAGACACCACTCAGGGAAACAACCATGCAAGTAAGTAAGGGAATTCTGATAAGTTATCTTCTTTAAAAGCTTGGTTTTGTTTTTGTTTTTCCCACACAATTTGCTTCCTAAAGCCTGCTGCTATAGATTTGAACTTCTAAACGAGAGTCACCTAGGACCCACAAGCTTCAGAAGCCTTCAAGGCTCTAGGCTGGTTTGTGTACATACTGCAGTTCCTGTCTCCTCCCAGGTCCAGCGCCTTCATCATGTGTTCCTGGAGCATCATATGTTAGGCCTGCAGGGAGATGAGGACTAGGTGGGGTTATCAGGACCCTGCAGGGCCAGGGTCCAGCCAGTATCTTAGGAATAGATGACAGACAGGGCAGTGTGTAGCTTCTGGCTGCCAGGCTCCCACCTGTTACTCCTCAAACCACCAGTTACTATGTCAGAATTGCTAGAGCAGCGTCCGGATGTGGCCGCCTTTTGGAATGTGTTGTTAAACGCTAGACAAAGTAGCAAGAGAGCTGAAAAGGAGAAAGAAGCAAACTTTGAGATACCAGTTACGTGAAGGGCAAGATGTAATGGAGAAAGGAATGGAAAAGAATGAAGAATGAACAATAAAGAACAAAAGAAGAGACGAAAACCTAACAGAGCAAAAGCCAGCTGTGAAGTCCTGAGGCCTCTGCGGCTCTGGCCGCCTGGGTAACACTAGTGCGTCTAGGCGCCACTGCTGCCCGGACTCTGTGAATTGTCTCTGGCAGACAGTTGTAAGAAAGGTCTGGGCTGGTGTCCCCGCAGTGGCCCTCCGCAGGCAGTGTGTCTAGTGAGACTTTCGAGTGCTAAACAGCCTCTGAGGTGCTGGTTCACGCAGGCCCTTCCCCCAGCCTTCTGATGCCTCCCTACCAACATCCCTGAAGAAAGGGAGAGGTGGACATCTCTGCAGAGTCCTCAGAGTGCTCACTGCTGGAGGCAGGCTAGATAAGATGTAGTGCACAAGCAGGAGTCCAGGCTGTAGTCCATCATTCACTGGTGATTGTTGATTCTAACAATAAATGCAGTGCAATGAACATTTGCTTTCTGAGTCTGGTTCCTTGGTGAAACTGGAGACTTTTGAAGCCCATTTTATAAATGCGTACATGAAAACACAGGTGCTCGCTGCTCTCTGTCCATGGAGAGTCACCAGCCTCGGCTCACATCAGCACTTTATCACTAATGTAGAGATCTTGAATGTAGTACACCACTGAGTGGAAACATGCCGACATGTTGCCTGCACTGATACATAATCATCTAGGGAATATTCACGCTTGAGCTAAAACGTTGTTTTAAAAAGCCTGCTAGGTCTTGGGAAAATACAAGGTATATGAGATTCAGGCCCAGCCCTCAGGGAACTTAGAGCCCCAAGGCAAGTTCATGACTCACTAACCTTACAAAGTTTTCTCAAGCTTAGAAGTGCTGAATAGCCCCCTGGGAACTGTAGCCTGGGGTTGAGAGTAGAATGCAGCGCTTTGCAGTGACTGCGTCTATTGGGCGCTTTCTGCAGCATGGTTGTATGGAGTCACGGTTGGTTGGTTGTACAGATGTGGAGGCTCAGGGCTCTCCAGGAGCTGAGGCTTGAGACTCAGACCACTGTGAGTTAAATCATGGTCCCATAAGGTTTTCTTTTGCGAGAAGAATGTTTTTGGTTTGGTTTTGGTTTGAAACAGTCTTGCTGTGTAGCCCAGACTGGCCTTGACCTCTTGATCCTCCTGTCTCAGCCTCAAGCGCTGGGATTGCACGTTTTCACCATCACACGTAGCTTCCTGCTTATATTCTTTTAGGCTGTCTTTCATTTTGGTGTTTATGTCTTAACCCTTCAAAAAGAAAAACAGAAGTACCAGGGAGAGCTCTTCTTCTGGAGAGGGGACATGCCTTGTGTGTGTATGTGAGATGGGTTGCTTGTCTTTATCCTGTCCTTTATTTGGGATGTAGCTGCCGATGGAAAAAGTATGTATAGAGAAATATTTCCGCCTAGGTGGGAAAAAGATGACTTCTTCCTTCACCTGGTCCTTAGCTGGAAGGCATCTTGAGAGCACCGTCTTTACTTTCTACCTCAGCATCCACTAGTGCAGACCTGAAATCCACTTCGACCGGCGAAGTCTGTCAGTGCCATTGTAGGAGGAAGAATCGTAGGTCTTCTGGCCTCTGCTTGCTGTCAGGGCTGTCCCTGCAGAAAGTGCCGTATACAGAATCAACCCCTGAGGGTGTGGGAGGTCACTATCCATTTCATCTGTCAACTAAGGACCAGCAGGAATGGCCAGGGGCCCTTCGGCCTAGATGTGGAGGCCGGCTGTTCCTCTCATCGGTACTGCCACCCAGCTGATCTGAACTCTGCCAGTCTGTCAGTCATGTCAGGTCAGACTGCATGTGCCCAGAAAACTGGAGGCAGGTCTTTAACTGTAGAGTGCTTCTGGGGGTTTTCTGTGTTCTCAAGCCGTGGAGATGCTGCAGCGTGTGTGGCCCTTGTGTGCTCTTGCTCTGTGCTGGTGGCCCAGGCACTCCAGAAGCTCTGCTGCTGTTTGCAGCTCTTGGTGCCACACTGCCTTACAATTTTGATGGCATCTTGAAATGACCATGGTAGCCAACAGTGGGTCCTTTACCTTTGAGTTGGGACCATGTCAGGCAGCATAACTGCTCAACTGAAATAAGGATCAGAGCCGGTGCAGTGTCTTATGCCTATAATCCTAGCTATTTGAGGATTGTGTTCAAGGCCAGTAACCAAGCAAAAAGTGAGCAAGACTCCATCTTAGCCAATAGCTAGGTGCAGTGGTGCATGCCTGTCATCTTAGAATATTGCAGAGCATAAATTGTATCACAGAGGCCGGGTGCTGGTGGCTCATGCCTGTAATCCTAGCTACTCAGGAGGCTGAGATCTAAGGATCATGCTTCAAAGCCAGCCCAGGCAGGAAAAGTCCATGAAACTCTTATCTCCAGCTAGCCACAAGAAAACCAGAAGTGGTGCTGTGGCTCAAGTGGTAGAGCGTTCGCCTTGAGCTGAAGAGCTGAGGGACAGCGCCCAGGCCTAGAGTTCAAGCCCTATGACTAACAAGAAAAAAAAAAAAGGATCACAGAGGATCCAAGCAAGACCCTACTCAAGAGTAACCAGAGCAGCTGGGCACTGGTGGGTCAGACCTGTAATCCTAGCTACTCAAGAGGCTGAGATCTGAGAATCTTGGGAAGCTATCTCCAGTTAACCACCAAAAAGCCAGAAATGGAACTGTATCGAAGTATAAAAGTCAAGTATAAAAGTCTAGTAGGAGCATTAGGTCCTGAGTTCAAGTACCAGTACCAGTGCATAATAATAACCAAAGCAAAATCTTTTGGCAACATGGCTTATTTGTAGAGTATCTGCCTAGCAAGGACAAAGCCAAGTTTAGGATTTAGAGCCACAGACCATGGTTCACATCCTCCTGGCCACTCATCAGGTCTTAGGCACTCATGGTTTCCATGTAGTGTGGTGGCACTCACTCCCAGGTCATCCTAACATGCCCATTTTGTGCATACAGCGTCTAGCTGTGCAGCTGCAAAGGTTCCTCTGCCCAGAGTCACTGTTTGGGGAAGGTCTTCACGTAGGATCAGCAGTGCGGAAGCCTGGGCTGCCACCGGCACATCCTGCATCCTCGCTGCTGCAATCTTGGGTCTTCCCTGCTCTTTTAAACATGATTGACTTTGTCACTATGGCGGTCTTCCTCCTTGATCCTCCTGTTACTCTCATTCCCAGCCCTACCTCCAGTGAATGCTCTGGCGACTGGTTTTGTACAGTGATGGCCTCCTGGCTCCCTGGCATACTCTGGCCACTTAATCTGTCTTTGCCCTTCCCTTTGATGACCATATTTTGACCTAGACTTTTGATGAGATAATGCTTTATCCTTTGATGATAACACAAACACAGGTGTGAAGTCTCTGTTAAAGTGTGTGCGTATCATCAAGTACCATCCAGCCAGGGCTTTGTTTAGAATACAGTAGAGGCTCAGGAAGGATGACTGCACAGGAAGAGCTGAGACCAAAGGTTAACTTACTCGCTTAAACTCTTGGGGCACCCAGTTATTGGGAACATTATGCCCCAAAGTCGCTTGAGGTGCTAGGCAAATCATTCTGGCTACATAGAGGAGAATGGACTGTCCAGGAAGCAGTAGACTGGAGGCAGAAGCAGACAGGTTCCAGGCACGAGGCGAGGTAGACTCCACCGGAAGAGGGGTGAAAGGTGGATGAGGCTCTCAGGATAGAAAGAATCGGGGGGTTCTTCTCCTGTCTGTGCAGTGAGCAGGTGTGCTGTGTTGTGGACGAGGCGGACAATGAAATGAGCATTGGCAGGGCCGGTGCCCTCGGTGCAGGGGATCTGTAATTCAAGGAGAGTTGGCAAGAGGAAGCAGAAGAGTGAAGGTGGTGGCGATGGGCAAGTAGGTGCTGTCACCTGACAGCCTCAGCCTTTCCAGGGGGGCAGCACAGAGGCCTGAGGGATGGCTGGGAAGAAGGAAACCTGGGGTCACGTGTGCTTTGGCAGCTGGGCAAAAGGGGCTTCTCAGGAAGAAAATGGTTAACCATTCTCAGGGTCCCCCTCAAGTGAACAGGTGGGCGGGCAGTGTGCTCCCCAGAGCTGGTGACAAGGAAACGTCCGGCTGGAGGCCAGGAGATGTGTATGTGTGTGTGGTACACGGTTGATGGCAGGCACACAGGGCCAGCAATGGAGAAGAGGAGAAGAGCGTGGAGGGTCAGGAGCCACTAAGTGGGGCTGTACAGCAGTCCTGGAGAGAGGAACCGAAGTATCTCCTATCCACATTGAGAAAGCCAAGCAAGTAGCAGCCAACTAACTGTTTGGAAACCACCAGAAGACACTGTAGTGTGTGTAGATGGGCAGCATGTACTCAGTCCACCTTGTAGACAGGCCTGGGAGAGCAGTCTGTGCTACAAAGAGTTCCCTAAATACCTTTGGCAAGCAGTTGTGTTTAATTAAGAAGCCATTTGTCCTAGAGCTCAGTGCTGTCCAGGCTTCACTGCTATCGTTCTAGAAATAAGCTGTTTCCGTAGCAGCAGCCCACACAGATAAGTGCTCTTCGTTGGCTCAGTGCATTGCGTTGTGTTGTGTTGCTAGGAATTCTGGTTTGTGTAGCCTGCAGCCCATGTGGTCCAGCCTTTTGCCTACAGAGCCTTCAGGTTGGGAGGGTTTGACCGTGTGGAAAGCTTGTCCTGTAACCTTGCTCCTTCCTTAATTCCAGCAAGAACTGAGGAAAACTGTGTTGCTTTGCCATGTGGAAGGAATGAATTGTCTAGACATGTAGAAAGGCCCCCGGCCGCCTGCGCGTGGCTCACCGTGTCCGCGAGTCCACTCTCCAGCTTCGGCTGAGGGCACACACTGCTTGGTTGTCAGCTCCCGAGCTGGCTAGCTTTCATAAAGGAGGTTCTGATCAGGAAGAGTGTTTGTGTGGTTTTTTAACGGGGAATGAGGGAACTCTCATTGAAAACTTGACTAATGGAAAGCCCTATTTATATAAATGGTAAAATAGGATATAAGAGTAGAGAACAACCACAAAAAGATGGCATGTGAATTTGGGTCCTGTGGGGAGCCCTTGGAAAGCCCCTGGCCGCCTGCCAGCCCGGGCTCACGTTGCTGCCTTGGGTCTTGCAGTATTCATCCAATCCCCATCTTGGGACAACATGGCAGATCCTTGGCTGTCTATAGTTCAGTCCCTGGGAGTCCCAGTCCCCTTTTGAGTTGTCAGTTCACCCACTCTCGCCAGTCCTCAGTGGAAGCGAGCAAATGGCTCCTAGTACGGTAGTTCTTTTTTGCTGAGTGTCTGTTGGAATGGCAGTCTACGGATTTTAGCAAGGGTCTGTTTTACTTGTTAGACACCATTGTGACCAAATTTGCCCTCAAGTCCAGCAGTAATAGGGTTCTCTTCTGTGTCGCTGGCCAAGTTATGCGGCTGCTTTGGGTAAGCCAGTGATGGATTCTAGAAGAAGATTTGAAATGATCATTTATAAGAAGAATTGGCAGCAGCTTGAACCACACAGTAAGTTCAAGGCCGGCTTGAGTCTCATAGTAAACCCCACCTCAAAAAAGGAGTTCGTGAGAGAAAGACAAAATGGCACTGTGTAGTTCTTCCCAAATCTTTTATGTGCGAAAATACCAAATCAAGATTAAGACTTAGTGTAAACCAAGTCCTGACAGGCGAGGGAGAAACCTAGAGCAAAGTCTCAGTGGCATTTGAGCCACAAAACAAGTGGCTCTCCATGGGTTGCCAGGAACAGGCGTGGTATCCACTGTGAGCTGTCCCCGTTTGGAAGTCTGGTTTGGGGCCTGGTTTTCTTAAACACTGCCTTACCGAGCTGACGTTCATCTTGTTTTTTGTTTTGTTTTATCACCTCACAGCTGCTAACCGAAAACCTTCAGTTGGCCTAAAAAAGAACAGCAAGAACCGAACGCTGAGCAGGCAATCCCTGTCGAGACTCCCGCCAGCTTCCAGCTCTACCTCACCTAAGCTCACTCACACGAACAATCCCAGGGTACCAAAGACACCGAGGAAGCCGGCAAAGGCTTTACTCTCTAAGATCAAACTGAGAAATCACTGCAAGCGGCTGGAGCCTAAGAATTCTTCAAGGAAACTCGAAATGGGGAACTTAGTACTTAAAGAACCTAAAGTAGTCCTGTACAAAAATCTGCCCATTAAGAAAGATAAGGAGGCGGAGGGACAGGCCCAGGCTGCAGCCGGGAGCGGGTGCTTGACCAGACACGCGGCCAGAGAACACAGGCAGAACCCTGGGCGAGGTGCTCACGCGCAGGACGACGATTCGCCCTGCGCCTACATAACCAGGCGCTCAGCGAGGACGAGGACGAGCCTGAAGGACGCCTCTGACATCAAGCTGGAACCAAATACATTGGACGACTATAAAAGCGGCGAGACGGAACCTTGTCCCAGCGGTGGCCAGCCGGCCATCCCTGAGGTGCAGGAAGAGCTGGTTTGTGAGACAGCCCAGAAAGCAGAGGCAAAGTGCCCCAAGGGCACCCCTGGCCTGTCCAAAAAGAAGTCGCGGCAAGCCAAACTTGTGAAACAGTTTGCAAAGCTAGAGACGTCCCCTCCGGTGCGTGACTCCCCAAGGAGAGACGGCATGCTGCCCGATTTGCTGGGGCCCCATCCTGACCAGGGCGAGCCCAGTGGCACGGCCGGGCTGCCCGTGAGCTACGCAGACTGCGCCCCTTCACCTGTGGTTGGTTGTCCCATCGTCACATCAGATGGCTTCAAAACAAAAGACAGCTTTAGAACTGCGAAAAGTAAAAAGAAGAGGCGAATCACCAGGTACGACGCACAGCTAATCCTGGAGAATAACTCCGGGATCCCCAAACTGACTCTCCGGAGGCGCCACGACAGCAGCAGCAAGACCAACGACCAAGAGGGCGACGGCGTGAACGCCTCGAAAATAAGCATCAAGCTGAGCAAAGACCACGAGAAGGATAGTAACCTCTACGTAGCAAAGCTTAACAATGGATTTAACTCAGGATCAGGCAATAGCTCCACAAAATTGAAAATCCAGCTAAAACGGGACGAGGAAGGCAGGGGGTCCTATGCAGAGGGCCTTCACGAAAACGGGGTGTGCTGTAGTGACCCCCTTTCCCTCCTGGAGTCTCAGATGGAAGTGGACGACTACAGCCAGTATGAGGAGGAGAGTAGCGATGACGCCTCGTCCTCCGAGGGCGAGGAGGGCGAGGACGGTTACGAGGACGACTTCGAGGACGATTTCATTCCCCTTCCCCCAGCCAAGCGCTTGCGGCTCATCGTTGGCAAAGACTCCATAGACATTGACATCTCTTCCAGGAGAAGAGAGGATCAGTCTTTAAGGCTGAACGCGTGAGCTCTTGGCCTGGGGTAACTACGTTAGAGAAACTACGCAGCCTCGTGCGGGCAGCTCCTCGGTGACCCTTTTCACGGCAGCACTTCCTCGTGTTCACCTAGCAGCATAATACTGGAGAAAGTGCACAGTGGACCGACTCCTGATTTGTGCACATTTTTACCGTACTTTTTGAATAGCCTTCTAATACGTGCAATTCTGAGTTCTGCGATAAATAAAGCCCTGGTGTAAAATAAAGGTTCCGGCAAAATTGTGCAGTGGTAGCAGCATTCCACACAGGACCTTGAAACAATAATGTGGCGACACAATTTGTTTGTTTTTTAACTTCAAGAGCAGCAGCTGGCTCTTTAATAGATGACTAAACAATAATTTAAAACGAATCATAGTAGCAGCATATTAAGGTTTTCGAGTATATGCTAATATCACCAGCAATGATCTTTGGCTTTTTGGTTTATTTGCTAGATGTCTCCCCCTTGGAGTTCTGTCGGTTTCTCACTGTTTGCTGGCCCAGGTGTGCTGTGCGTGGCCTTGTTACCTTAGCAGACAAACCACGGGGTGGGAGTCAGATTGCCAAACAGGCCAGCTCCCCCTTCGTGCTTTGTGCGTCCGAGGTTAGCAGCGTGCAGGGTGAGTTTCCAAACTGCGTATTTATTGCTTGTCATGTAAATTAAAGACCTTGTATTTAACACTTTTCCATCCTTTTAGATAAACTTGTTCTTTGCAAGAATGATTGGTGCTTATTTTTCAAAACTTTGCTGTGAACAGATGTGATGACAAGCAACAACAGCATTTATCTAATGAACTACAGCTGTCTTAATCGGGCTCCTCCAGTCTTCTGTTGCACTTGTAAAATGCTACAAGGAATATTAAAAATCTATTCACTTTAACTTATAATAGTTTATGAAATAAAAACATGAGTCACAGCTTTTGTTCTGTGGTAACCTATAAAAAAATGTTTGTCTTTGGAATTCACTGTAAAGAGTTGAAAACAATGTATATGTTGTAAATATTTGTGTGTTGTGAGAAATTTTTGTCATAAGAAATTAAAAGAACTTACCAGGAAAGTTTTTAAGTTTAGAAATATTCATGCCAATAAAATAGGAAATTATAAATAGATAGTTTTAAGCACTGCATCAGTGGGAGTTCTTGCTTCTGTTTATTATGAAAATACCAGAATGATTATTATTATCAACAAAAAGAGGAGTCAGATTTGATTTGTTTGTTTGTTTTTTTTTTGAAGCACTTTGAGAATTAATTTTTAAGTAACTTAATGAGCAAATGTTTTGAGTACTACTCTGTTCAATACCAAGCTGGTTTGTTTCTCTGGGTTATCTTACAAATCAAAGAATCGGGGTATGTTGTCTGTAGCAGGTGTCTGACACCAGTATGTCTCTTTCTTTATGGGAAATGTGCGTGTCCTTGCAGACAGACCCTGCCCTACTGGAAGTCCGCCAAGGAAAGGTCCAGGGGAGGGGCCCTCCCTGCTATCTCTTGTTAGAGCGGCTGCCAAGTTCAAAAGTTCTCTCAAACTATCACCAGTAGGTTCCAAGTAGAAATGACGAAGAGTTATAAAAGTCTGCCTGTCTCCCATGGCCTTTCCTCCCGCAGCCTCAGGGACTTCTCCCTGTAGGACCCTGTGGGCTCTGCCCTCCTCCTGTTAGGTGCAAGCCGACTCAGGCGGCAGTGTGGCAGCAGGTGGCAGATGCCCCTCCTCTCCGGAGCTCCTGTCCTGGGGCACCTGGAGCCCTTTCCAGATGCCTCCAGCCCTTGGGGGGGGGGGGGGGGGGGAGGGGGGGAGGTCCACCAGCCACCCAGGAGGAGACAAAACAAAAGTGGATTTCTGTCTGGAGTGGCCCGGGGACCGCGGGTGCCTCCTTCCTGCTTCACTGTTTTGAAGAGGCTCAGAGACTGAACCTTTAACTGTTTCTTTGAATACCAATAAGAGCCATTTCTGGGATTTCCATTTTAAGGAAAGAGTAACAAAAATAACACATTTTCCCATTTTTCTCCTCCACTTTTAAGCTTAATTTTAGTAACTTATTTATGATGTTTGTTTTGATTTGTTGTGGCCTCGTTTGAGGCTGACCTTCCCATGGGTCTCAGAGCAGCGACGTGGGTGAGTCGCTGCCTCTCAGGAGTCGGTATGCACAAGCACCAGCAGCTGCTGGTGCCTTCTGGGAAATCTATTTCCGTTTCTAAAGGCAGGGGCCTCGGACTGTTCTCTATCTGCTGTAGAATTCTTTGTGGGGAGGGGGGACCCACACAATTGACGAGTCTGGAAGAGGTTACATTCAATAAAAACTTTTGCTTGAGCTTATGCAATGATTGGTTAAGAAAAAAAAAGTTTTGGCATTGTAAGAATTAGGAAATGAGCCTAGAGATATATGTAAAGTATTCAATTTTCAATCATTTTTCAAATTGCTGTTTTCAATTGTTTTTGCTGGGTTGTAATACTTTTGAGATACAATGTATTCCTTGTACTGAAAGAATGGAAAAAAGGACTTTTTCAGCATTTGAGGTAAGTTCTTTAACGTTTCATTAAAAACATTTTTTACAAATATTTTGTACATGCACTTGCAGTATTGAGGTTAATCATTTTAATAAATTCGGAAATTAAAACAATGGGTCGGTGTTTACTATATCAAGAAGACATCAGATTTTCTCCATGAAGTGCTTGTGTGAGGCAGACTGTGTGATCTAGGATGTTCTCTGCGGAGTCTGCACCTGCCCACACCACCTCCGCGCTCTCCCCGCAGGGAGCTGGCCGGCCTCCTGGCCCTAGTGCTCCAGAGAGCTTTGTCCCCAGAATGACTGGCCGCAGATCCAGGAACCCTGGCTCCGCCCAGCTTGAAACACCAGCATAGCTTCCTGAGTAGCTGCGATGACAGACGCGGGCCACCCCTGCCTGACTCCGGTCAGCTTCTGAGTCATCAACATGCATCCTATCGTATAGACTGCAAAAGAAACTAACAACAAAAAACAAAACGGTGGCACTCAGAGCAGGTTCCAAAGAGCCCCACGCTTGGTTGGCCCCTGAGGTGATGCCAGGCATGTCCCTGGCTGCCGAGAAGGTGAGAAGGCTCCGGCTTTGTCCTCACCACCTCACCCCCACCCCGCCCCAGTCCCAGAGCGCATGGGCCTTCTCTGTGTTGGCTAGTGGTGGAGTTCCGGAGGGTCAGGGGACTTAGATCCTCTATGAAGAGCAGCAGGCTCAGTGGCCCAGTTGGGGAGTGAATATGCCACCAACACTTCCCCGCCTCTTCCTGCCCCTCATGTCTTTCCAGATCAAGACCTGACTGCAGGGTCAGTGGCATGTTCTGTGCATGTTCTGAAGCAGCTGCTCTGTTACCAGATCTGCACCTTGCGCACTTCCTACAAAGCCTGCCCTGCTCATGCTGTGCCACGGGGACACAGGGACACAGGGCTGGTCCCCAGTGTGTACGGAACATCGGAGGTTGAGGAAGGCAGGGCTTGAATTAAAGCCAAGCCATGGCTGGCTACTGAGGACAGTTGAGACCCCTGAACAAGCTCAGAAGACGGCAGACGCGGGGCACTCGCGCCGGCCCCAGCAGGAAAGTCCATGAGCCTCATCTCCAGTCACCAAGTTCTGAGAAGCTGGAAGTGGAGCTGACTCGTGATAGAGCACCAGCCTTAAACAAAAAAGCTAAGGTATAACAGACCCAGTTCAAGCGTGTGTGGGGAGCGTGTGCGCGCGCACACACACACACAGAGGCGAGAACGCAGCAGAGGACTTGGCTGCCCGACCTGCACGACCTTGGCAAGCACAGCTAGGCCGCACTGAGGCGTAGCCAGCTGGCTGGGGAGGGAAGAGCAGAGGAAGTCTGGCTGTGGAGCAGGAACAGGAATGACACGCCAGGGGGGAGGTGGCCAGGGACAGGCAAGTTGGACCTGGAAGCCTCCACTGGGGCCTCAGAAGGGAAGTGAGAAGTTAGACAGAGTTGGAGGGATGGTGGAATCTTTTCCTGACTTGAAAATAAAGAGAGGGCCACACCCGCCCAGGGTGGCGCAGACTGGCAGCTCCCCCAGGATGAAGTCTAAGGATGATGGTGTACCCTTTTTTTTTTTTTGGTCAGTTATAAGCCTGAACTCGGGGCCTGGGTGCTGTCCCTCAGCTCTTCAGCTCAAGGCACGCGTTGTACTACTTGAACCACAACACCACTTCTGGCTTTTTCTGCTTATGTGGTGGTGAGGAATCGAACCCAGGGCCTCATGCATGCGAGGCAAGCGCTCTACTTGAGTAGCTAGGATGACAGGAGTGAGCCACTGGCTATCTGTCTTGACTATAAGTGGGAGGCAAGGTCATGGGAGGCTGAAACAAAGACCCTGAGATTGGGTGACATGACTAAAGAAGCTAACAATTCAGCCGGGTGCCAGTGGCATGCCTATAATCCTAGCTACTCAGGAGGCTGAGATCTGAGGATCAAGATTCAAAGCCAGCCAGGGCAGGAAAGTCCATGAGACTCTTATCTGCAATTAACCATCAGAAAACCGGAAGTGGCGCTGTGGCTCATGTGGTAGAGCACTAGCCTTGGGAGGAAGAGCTGAGGGACAGTGCCCAGGCCCAGAGTTCAAGCCCCACAATGAAAGAAGGAAGGAAGGAAAGAAGGAAGGAAAATTCTGCCCAGCTCCAATGGCTCACACCTTGAATCCTAGCTACTCAGGAGGCTGAAATCTGAGGATACTTGTTCAAAGCCAGCCTGTGGTGGGAAGTCCATGAGACTATATCTCCAATTAATAACATTAGGATATGCTATTATAGCTAAAATGGTATAGAGTTTGTCTTGAGCAAAACAGCTCAGAGACAGCACCCAGACTGTGAGTTCAAGCTCTAGGACCAACACACACACAACCACCAAACCAGGACTGGCAGAGCAATGGGGAGAGGCAGAGGCAGGCTCTGGGGCTGCTTGTTCTGGTAGTGGCAAGTTCTGAGGTGCCTGGAATGGGGTGGGCCAGGGCGTTGATCTGATACAGACCATGGCCATCACCAACAGCCTCACACACACTCAGTTAATGCCCAGCCCGGACCAGCGTCCTGGGGCCCAAGCAGGCTCACTCAACAAGCAGCCAGACAAGCCAAGGGAAAGGGGGCCGCCACCCCCTGCTGAAATAGTGAGTGCCTCGGTCTTTCTCCATAACAAGGAATGAAACCTTGCCAGCGAGAGTCACAGCCTCCCGTTTGCACAGTCTGTGTTCTTGGCTCTGCCTGTAACCATACCTGGAGCTGACACCCCCAGCCAAACCATTCTGGCTCCTAGAATTTCCCATAGACGATGACCATCACTGCTTTTAAGCTGCTTTCCCTCGAGCTGGTAGAGTCACAGGAGCCTGGCCACTGGTCACAGTGCCGATCAGCAGTAACTCAGCCATTGATTGGGCACACTGTGAGTGGGAGGGAAGCGCTGGCAGTCTCGGCTGCTCTCCCAGCGGCCGTGGCCTGTAGCGCCCTGGAAGAGGGCAGACCCTTTATCTGCAGACCCCTGGAATACAGTAGCCCAGGGATAACATACCAGATCAAGGCTGGCTGGCTGCTAGACCCATAATTTTGTTTGTTTTTATGCTAGTACTGGGGCAGGCCCTTGGTACTGTTGTTTAGCTTTTGTGCTCAAGGCTGTTGGTCTACAACTTGAGGCACAGCTCCACTTCTGGCTTTTTGGTGGTTCGTGGGAGCTAGGAATCTCAAGGACTTTCCTGTCCAGGCTGGCTTTGAACTTTGATCCTCAGATCTCCTAAGTAGCTAGGATTAAAGGCG